CTCCACAAAACCCGAACCCTAGTCTCCCGCCCATGAAACGTCACGCTTACCCCTACACCAAGCCGCCGTTGAGGAAGGAGGCGCATCCATGTAATTTAAGTTTTCTTATGCTAAGCTCCCTAAAACCACCCTCATAAATTCGTTCGGAGAAACGCTTGGCAAATTTGGAAAGCAGATTTGAACTCAGCATCCTAAAACACGTCCAGCAATGTAGGTCTCATTCTGAATGGCCACTTCGACTTGGGATCCTTCCCTGGTAAGCTACAATGGGACTGCGGACATGAGGGTGGGCAAGGCTGATTACGACTAGAAACTCATGCTGGTTTATAATTAGGTAAGTCTCTCTCCCTTGGAAAGCTATAGATTTCTCGATATAAGACGACCTTGCTGATAGATCTAATTGAGTATATGGGCCTATATTTTTACGGGTAACGGAACTTCTCCCCGACTGCGGCATTCTCCCTTACGGCATGCGGCAAATGTCACTGCAACTACCGTACTCCCCCCGCCTCCCCGCCAATCGACGCGGAATTTTTCGTTAATTGCCCTTCTTTTTTATTAGATTTGATCGTTTTTCTTTCTATTTCTTTTTCATTTTTATGTATTAGACTTGATTAATTAGAATGACTCGTCCTATGTAAGCGATGATAAAGACTGCATTGGAATTGAATTGAATCGAGTTATTTGAATCGGTCAACCAATTCAAATAATTGAAGGACTCCCTACCTCACAAATTGCGCACTCCAGTCTGCCATCGCAGTCCTGCGATACGCGGCGGGTGCGGCGTGCGCGACGCCGTCTTCAGGGAGAAGTTCCCGGAACCATATTTTTACCATTCTTCTTGCTGACCTTTTTCAAGATTGATCTTGCTAGCCCGATCATCCATAATCGAGACACGCCGCCATGAAGTAGGATACCATTGAATACATAGTATTGTTAATGGGGTCATGATACCTACAGCTGCCTTTTCCAAAGAGATGTACGGCATCCTTGCTGGAGAGATAGGTACCCTTCTGGGTGTTTGCTAGGATGCTACAAATAACAATGCTGGATACGCCCAAGGAGCCCGATGGCAAGGGAGGTCATCAGACTCTATGGTTTTTGAGCTATCTTTCTAAGCACGCGAACATCGACCATTTCAGCTATCTTTGATCGGAACTGCCTCTGATGAAGTTAAATGTGCACACCTTCAGATTCTGTTCCAGTTGATTCCTGTAGGACCTGTCCTTCTTTACAGAGCGGTCGTAGTTAGAAAAGTTACGAAACCCTGATTCTACGTTTCTCTTGGCTTCTATCTAATTCTGTATTTCTTCCATTATGTCTTTTATTTTCATCTCTTTACTCTCTTAGGCTGCGATCAGTACGTTTTTGACTACGCTGTTTGGTAAACTCTTTAGAATATTCTCTGTTCAGTGCGTCCTGTACTACTGAACGGAGGTCTTGACCTGTAGGACAAATTTGGATTGTCAACGATTCGAGACTGTCGAATTCAAAGTTGCTTGCATTCGCATTGTTTGGTGCTGGACGCATATTGAATATTAGGCTCTGAAATAATTTCGTTCTGCCATTGAATTTGTTCCAATATTTTTTCATTAGCTTCCTTCATCTAAATGTACTTTTTTGGGATCAATTCAATGCCTTTCACCTCACTTCAGCTTCTCCCCAATGGTTGTCTATCGAGAGTAACATTCTCTCCGTTGTTCTTGACACCTTGTTTCGAACACAAGCATTTAAAAGCTGACTAAAACTCCGGAAATTCTTCATTGTCGCGTAGAGTCTTGGGTTTTGTAGCTGGCTCGGTTCCAGCGTACGGCTGAATACATCTTTCCTCTTGTTCTCTTCCTCTCCTTCTTTAGCGTTTGTCCCGCTTGTAGGCGGGGTCCGCTTTTTTGATATGTTGTCGCGACTTCTCCCAATTGAACGCTTGGTCAAGGTGGATGTTAGCCGCTTCAAGATCTTCGTACAACGTATCGAGCCACCGCCGCTTTGGACGTCCTCTAGGCCCCTTTCCGGAGTCAAGGCTGAGACCGATCTTACGGACTCTGTCGTTCTTTGCGCGAAGAACATGACTATACCATCGTAGACGGGCTTCGTGCATTTTATCAACAATGGAGGCTACACCGAACAGCTTCCTGATGGCGTCATTACTTATGCGGTCTAAGCGTGTTACTCCGGCCGTCCCACGCAGCATCTTGGTCTTCATCACAATGAGACGGGCTTCAACTTCTTTGGTTGCGCGCCAGCATTCAGCGCCATAAATTGCGACCGGTCGGATGACGTTTCTTTAGATCTTGGGTTTGAGACGCTCAGACATGCAGAGTACGCCGATCATCGAACGCTGTATTCACGCGAGAATTCGTTTCGAAAACTAGGTGCCGTCAGACGCTATAGGCGATGCGAGGTACTTGAATGTTGTTGTCCGTGTGAACTCAGTACCATTGATCTTGATAGAGCCTGGTTGGCTCGGATCGAAGGTCAAGTATTCAGTCTTCTTGACGTTCAACCTAAGTCCGAGCCTAGCCAGACGGTCGGACCAGGCTTGCATCTGTTGCCCAAGCTCGCCTTCGTCTTCGCTGGCGAGCATCACGTTATTGGCATAAAGAATAGTTCATGGAGCAGGCTTCTGAAGATCTTTTGTGATGGTATCCATGACGACAACAAATAATAGTGGGGACAATGCAGAGCCTTGGTGTACTCCAACGGAGATGGGAAAATCCTCCGATATGCCCGCCCGTTCGGCTCCTTGGACTAGAGTAGAGGATGCGTACGCACTCGATGAGCTCTTCAGGAACGCCATGCTGTCGTAAGGCACACCATATAACGTCACGTGGAACGCGATCGAAAGCCTCCTCCAAGTCTAGAAAGGCAAAATGTACCGGTCTTCGTTTCTCGCGATGCTCTTCTAGAAGAAGGCGAGTGGCGTGTATGGCATCGATGGTGCTACCACCACCACGAAACCACACTTGTTAGTGGTCACGGATACGGCTGTCTACAATTCGCTAAAAGATTTTCATGCTGCGCGAGACCAAGCGAATTGAACGGTAGCAAGTGTAGTCCCCAGTACTGCCCTTCTTCTTCCACATAAGAATTGTCGTGCTCTGTTGCCAGCTCTCAGGCACCTTCTTCTCTTGAACGACCTGGTTGAAGAATTCCGTCAACCATCCTGCAGGATTCCAGAATTTCGATTTCCACAAATCCACCGCTAAGTCCTCAGGACCAACTGCTTTGACTGATTTCATCTTCTTCAAAGCCGTAATGGTTTCATCCACGGTTATCTTCTGAACGGGACCGTGTACTGGCGGAGACCAGGGGAAGGTGCGATGAGCGAGTTCGACTGTTGAGATGTTTGCGAGGTACTCTTGCCATCGTTTCAGTGTTTGCCTGCGGTCCACCAAGAGGTGATCGTCCACGTCATTTATGCCAAAGAACTTTTCTATATCCTCGGTCTGGCGGTTGCGGGTCTTTGCGAATTGGTAAACGTACCGCTTACCATAACGAGACTCGAGTTTCCTATTAAGATCGGCATAGTGAGCTGCCTTCTCAGAAGCAACGGCCTTCGCTATCTGATAGTGTTGCCAGTTGTCAGCTGTCTTTTCGATAAGTAATGCGTGGTACTGCTTTTCTTTTCATGGAATTTATTTCTGACATGGTCAGTCCACAGCCGAACTATTATCGAACTTTCGCCGTCCAGCCTTGGTCATGCCGAGCTTCGGTCGCGCAAGCCTTGTTATCGCTTTCGCTGCTCTCTTCCAAGTTTCGTTGACAGTCGTTACCGCTGCTAATAGAATGCTAGAAACGACGGCCGCTTCTTTTCCTCAGTCGCCACCACTTGTTACTCGCTGGCCCCCACCTTTCTGCTAATTTGAATACATCTTTCCTGTCGCATGGGTTATTATCCGACCAATCTTCTGACAGCAGCGCATCAGAGTCATCCGCGTCATGGTTTCCTACAATGCGGCTGCTGATTTTTACCTTTTAATGCCATACATTTCGCTTTTGTGAGGCTCGATGACCAGCTCTGATCCTAATTTTTAAGCTTTTGTCTGTTCTGTGTTCGCATTGCTTCCAGCACATAAATCACTTCGTGGGCACGAGCTACCCTCCCCGTAAATTTTGTTAGGCGGATCCTTTTTGTTACTTTCTGTTTTGCCTCATTATATTCTTTCCTGATCTGTCAATCTGTCAACGAGTGATTGCAGACCGTCTCCGCTAGACCTGACGATTAGAGCTCATCCAGCAATCAAATTAACTGCTTTTGAGTATTCGTCGCATTATCGTCACCTTCGGAATTATTTTCTCCGCGCGCGACCTGCATATGTCGAGAAAGTGCCAAGCGTTTTTGCATCGAACCCAACAGATTTTTGGGAAAGATGAGGGGCACTCCTTTATTTTTTCTCCTTTCGAAAGTTCCGAGATACTTTTAAAGCCACTTATTTGGACTTATTCAAGGTTATTGCGTTCAAACGGTGATTTCTTAGAGGTTTACTCAGACTTGACTAATGAAATGAGAAATATTGGAATACTCATTCAGCCGATGCACCAGAATTTGTTCTCTTTTCGATTCTGTACATCAGTAGCGCTATCGCAGATCTGCATTCTTTGTAAATCTTCGCCATGGGCAACTACTCTCGTTGTGTGTTCCCTATAGCGCAAGACCAAATTTTTAAGCATCGTTGCGCTAGAGATAAATGGTCTTCTATAAAAATGGGTCGAAGTTCTTTTCTTTGCACGCTTAACTTGGTTTGAATTTGGCAAGTTTGTGGACCACAACGTGAACGTGAATAGAGGGTTCGTTAGTATTTGTTAGATACAAAGTAGCACAACTTTGCGTATCCTAGCTGTTGGAGCACTGGTGATCGTACCTGATTTCGAAGCATTCGAGCCGTCGATGAAACGAGGTCGAATAGCAGTGGTGGCAATGACACTGTCCCATGACAGTTCTGTCGCGATCTCGGCGCAATTGAACCGGAAAGCAGCTGGTGTGGTTTTTGTCCAAAGCGGCTCACCAATTAACGTGCCGTTTCTCGTTCCTCAGTTCCATACTGTCCCCGTCGAAGAGGTATCTGTAATGATTGTACGTAATATCAAACCTTATTCTGCTTTCCTCATCGAACCTGAATTTGTCTATGCGTCGGCAGAGGGTGTCGAAGATACTGTACTTCGCAGCTGCGGGATTCGCTCCATTCATTCATCCGCATGTCGAAGGTGCGGAGAAAGGGGTCGGAGGTCTCATTCTGCTGCTTCTGCGTGAAAATCAGCATATTCTAATGGCGTTTCATTTGGTCATGCATCAGAGAGAGAATCTGGGCCAGGGTACCCATAAGTCCTTACTGATCGGCAATTGTTGCTTCTGTAGGCAGCAAGCAGAAGGCAGAGGGTTTATACTAGTGAATAAACTGAACATAACAGTAGTCGAGGGGTTTATATACCCCAATAAGATCACGATTCAGCCGCGAAGCGCGATAAGTTCAAAAAGTAAACGCGCCCAGCGGAGGGTACAATTGCTAGGATTTTCTCGCGTCAGCACCCCTTGATTTTTAATAAGGTATCTTTGAGGCATCATACGAGTTAGGATCATCGAAAGGAGCTGGGATACTAACAGTATCTATATATGAGTTACAAAAGGGAAAGATCTTCAGCGAGCAAGAGGCTTTAGATGTACTGGGAGGGTTAGGATATCATCCCAGGGTGGAAAGATGGACGCTAGCTGCAATCTTTGATCCACGCCACCTCAACCTTCGCCATAGCTGCGAAACCACGCCCTGAAACATGATGGTGCGTCATCGGAGAAACACTATTGGATTTTGCACTGGCGTTACATCCTCATATCTCGATCAGTTTTAATAATAGTATCAACGACTCTTTGCAAGGTCAACCGCAGAAGAATCGGCCACTTAGGCCTTCTTGAAGTTACCTAGCTCAGGAACTACAGAGATTCGGCCCACAGCATTCACTAAGGGTGCTACGTGGGGGTCCACCACAACTCCGTGGGGGCAGACGGCTGGCGGCTGGAGACAGAAAAAAGCGAGTGACGACGACCTCTTCATTTCGAGGGTCCCCTTTTATACGGTTCTACCCGCGCCTTTTCTTTCCTCAGGCATAATTGCTCCTGCAACCCCGTAACTCCTGATCCCCAGTTCACCTACAGTAATCTGGTCACCCTCGACCCCTCGGTGTTTTGAACTTCAAGGGCACTTCTTCTTCGGTAAGACCCCACCGATGCGGTTTTTTCTGTCCATACTGACATGTTGACTTTCATAACTGAATTCTCGCGTGATCAGTTGCGCCTCAGCCGTTTGGTTGCCTAGTAGTTGTTTTGTGCCTTTTTGGTAGGCAGAAAAAAATTTGGGCATCTTGTAAGCAGGGCGGGTGGCGCCAAATCATTTTGATGTAAATCATGTGAATCATTTAGCATCTGATACACCGACCCATTTCAAGTGCCCGCACCGCCCTCGATACCGTGTACGGGTATCGCGGGCAACGGCCACACTGATGCATGCCTCATTTTCAGGAAAAATATGCAGTTATTTCAAAGCAGATCGGTCGATTAGAGGCTGTGGGCTGCCTCAATCCCATCCTATCGCCCACTAGACTAATCGGCGACGTTGAATAAGGGATCAATCTTTTCGTCGACAATTCTTAGTATATTTTCGAGAGGCGACATCTTTTGGTGGTTGTCCAGATCAGCCAGAGTAGTATGTAGTTCAGCTACGGTGGTGAGACATCCTTAATTTTATTACAGAGTCTCTGGTTTTCTGTGCCCAAGCTTATTTATCTTTTGCCGCTCTTCGGTACCGCTATCGCAGAACTGCATTCTTCGTAGAACTCTCGGTTGTGAGTAAATCTACTTTCGCTGCATGATGACCATCATGAATAAGAAGCATTCTATTACTTACTCGATTAGTGTTATTGCGTAGTTTATTGTTTATTCAGATTAATAATTTGTCCATTTCAAAAGTGAAGAGTTCCTGTCTGGTGACGTGTGGAAACAGGTAGACAGACTGGTATGAGATGAAGAGGGCATGTTTTAACGTGCAACGTGGCAACCTATACCTGTCAAGACAGCCACCAATACGTGTCAAGACAATGATCTAAGTGTTAAACCAGTGAAACCCTGCATGTAAACTCTCTGCAGTTTGGATAGAGACTCATTTGCTCAGTGTACGCTCCAACACTCAAATTCAATTTCAAGTTTTATTACATGCAGCACACATGTAATGGGGCGAAACATCCATAAGAAGGAAAAGAAAAATAAAAATGAACAAGTCCAAGAACACTAGGAAGAAGAGAAACAACAGAATGCATGCGATTGGATAAAAGTGAATATCTGGTACGCGTAACAAAAACCTAATTAGCGAGAGTAAGATTTCTATCTAATAGTCTTTTGAAACCTACAATGGAACACGGCACTTTTACGTAACTTTTAAGAAATCAGATCCAACTCTAAAAGTGAAGAAGTTGCTACTCACGGAAGATTATAGACTACGAAGAATTTACAGTGGTTGACCCCGTGTTGATGACTGATATAATTTAAGGAACTCTCCAGATTTGAGATCAATCAAACCATGAAGAATTCTGAATACCGTTGAACGATCATTCTCCTCCCTCGCCTCTTCGTCATGGATCAATCCACTTTCGTTGTATAACCCGTATAGCGATGATCCATGACCAAATTCTAAGCGTCGTTGCGCTATCGTTAGTTGGTCTTTTGTGAAACTGGATCAATGTTCTTCTAATCAAATACTTAACTTATTTTGAATTTGGCAGGTTTCTCGATAGGACCACAACGTGAATGGCAGTGAAGTGTTCGTTCTTGCTTGTTTATTTGAAAGGTAGAAGAACTCTGTTCAGTTCAACTCAAAGAGGTTTGTGAACAGATGCACCAAAAATTTAGAGTGGCTCAGGTATGACAATAAAATAGTAGTACAGTGAATGAAAATAATAGTAGAAATGAATGAGAGTAATAGTAAAGACTAGGAAAAAATGTAATCAATTTAACAGTTAACCTCTTACCCTTAGTCCATGTTCGACCTTCTTGCAATCTTGGCATGTAGTTAAGCCAGAATGCTTCGTCTTCGAGCCCTTCAGGATTGAAATTATTTGTTAGGTCGACGTTTCGGCAGTTTCGCCTTTGTCAGAGCCGAAGCATAAGTGGCTCGCTCGCTCAAGCGCTTCAACAGAAACTGCAAGATTCTTTGACTGGACTAGCAAACTTTCAGTGGTATTGATCGAAGAGGCATGGGGCTGCTCCAATTGAAATCCGTCGCTGAGACGGAAGAACCGCCACCCTCGTACTAACTTAAGTTAGAAATAACCAAACAACTTAGGTTAGAAATAACCAATGTACCTCCCACTAATTTCATCGTAGGCAAAGGTCACAAAGGTCGCGAAAGGGTGGAAGGCATCTCACCCTTACTGTTGCTCGCGATAGTGCGTAGCACGCTTTTTGATGGTCCTTCTTGACACCACGTATCAATGACTGATGGGGGTTCCGAGCCAAAGTACCTTCTCAGATTGTGATAATGACAAGAGAAGATGGCCGACGACTTAAATGACGATAAGAGTGCCCAGAGTTGCGGGCCATTGACAAGTTTCTGGTGGAACTTTGGATTCCAGCCACTGGGAGTGTATCTCTCTTCTGATCACTGCTTCAAAGTTTAAATCTTTGACGATGCGACTCAAATTGAAGCATGGCAAGGCGGAAATGGAAGCACGAGGGCAGTAACAAGACCGCCACCCAGTCTCTCCATGATTCAGACTGACGCTAAGGCGGGCCGCGCCCTGGACCAGAAACCTCATATTTGGCTGATCGGACTGTGAGAAAGAGAATTCCTCAACAAAAGTCGCGTGAATGAACGGCAAAGATCGGAAAGACGGCAAGTTATCCGAGTATGAACCTCGTATAGAGGCAATGGCAGTAACTGTGTGTCAATACAGGACCAGTAGAAGAATGTTTATTAATCTCGCGAAAAAATTCCATAAATGAACGAACTGTATCCCTTTAATTTCTCCATTCTTCATTGCACAACGTCCACCTCTTCTTCGTTGTAAGGGAGAGTGAAGTTCATGTGTAGTACCAGTAATTATAGGTGAACTATTCTTTCCTTCAATGGGTTTCTTACGGGGTGACGATGACTGAGTAGAAGCTTAAAGACTGGGAGGTGAGAGAGCGGGTGAGGCCTCGACAGCTGACTCATCCGATGTATTTAAGGCTCGCGCAGAACGACATGAGGGGGGACGCTCGACGATCTACCAAGNGGACTTGGTCCGAGCCTGGACCTCCACCTCGCCTCCCGCGGACGTCGTCTCTGGGCCCTGCTCCTTCCTATTCACGACCCACGACCGGACTGATCTCTGAATCGCTTTGATACTAATAAACTGATATTCATTCCGACATATATAGCAGTCGCACCGAAACACGGGAATGGTAAACATCGACAACATTAGTTCGTTCACGTCGATGCTACATCTAAAACCGCTCATCTCTCCTAACATTAGCGTGACAGCATACCAGACGATGGCAAAGTGAAACATGCAGTGCAGAGAAAATACAATAACAAACCAGCGAATATTGAAAAATGGTGAAAAAGATATATTGCAAATAATGCAGGCAACCAACGAAACGAATAAAGTTAGTCGTAACATACGGTATTGGCGCAATGTACGCAATATCACAGAAAAAGTGTGAGGAACTATAAGTTGCTTCCTGTCTTCCTTTCTTGTTTGTTCCCAAAGGATGCCTCTCTTTCGCTTTCGAGTCTTTTCTTAATTTGCAAACTTTCAATGGGTGCTACGGCGTGCTCAAAACAGAGAGATACGATCTGCTTAATCGTTTTTACCATGGGAAAGCGTCAATGCAGCTTTTCATTCTGTAAAACTTTTAAGGGATCCACAGGTCGCTCTTTTCAGCAAAGTATAATTTTCTGAAAAAGTCGTGCATGCATCAGCAGTAGCCTTACATTCATTTGTGCTCTTTGAAAAAACATTTCCATCCATTGCGTTTTATATGCCACCCCAGTGGCAATGATCTCTTTGATTTTTTGCTTATGCTCCATTTAGCATATATTCGAAGGAAGGATTGGATAGACACAATGTTTGCATGCTCAAAACAAATGCAAACTCTGAATCTTTGGAGTCTCATTAGGTTTCGATGCAAAGAAAGGGTGCGGAAGTCTTTGTATAGTGTTTTCAAAGGTAATAGGGACGTAGAGCCGGCTGAGGTATAAAACTGCTTTCTACATTTCTCTGGACAATGTTGGAGTAGCATAGCATTCCTATTTAAACCTTGAAATTACTTTGGCTCGTTTTAGCGCGAATATAACAGCTTGAGTCTATTTTGAAGGGATTTTCTTGTTGTAGTAAGGCCCTCCATGCCATTCAACTTTACCGAAATGATGTTATGGGCGAGTCTCACAAGTTTCCCTTGAATTTATTCTTAATTTCGGTAATTTCTTTGAGTTTCGGTATAGGCAGTGAGTTTATGAGCACTTCTAGCCCTAGCTTGACAGAGTTACTGCTCAGGAGAACAGCAGTGAACGCCACGATTGTCTGCCCAGGCCGGGATCTTTGGTCGACTCATAAGGTTTCTCCTCGAAAGCGAACAATCGATTACATCTCGGTGCCTTTCACTTATTCAACTGGAACTGCAGCATTTCCGTATGCCCCTTCGCCTTTATTTCTTCATCTTTTTCTCGACTAGTGATTCAGTCAGTAATTTTCATATCATGTCCCGCAATCTATTATAAAGACGTGCTTTGGTCAGAGCGCTCAGAAGAATTCCATCAATAGTCTCCCCTACTGCCAGAGCGCGGCGTTCTGTCATCATTTCGCCGACTAGCCTACGACGACTGTTTGATAGTCTTTGCTCACTCGATGGCGTTTTTATCTCCACAGGAAACGATGACAAAAGTCTTGAAGCAGCCCACGTCTACAGCTTGATGACATTGGCCTTTTTTATGGAAAATAGCTGCTGGCTAATCATTTACTGAAAATTTATTCTCGTGGTCTATTCTTGTCATCAAGTCAACTTGATATTTGCCTAATGGAATGATATCATTCGATTGCGAAGGATGGGTTCATTCCTACCAGGTTTCTTCTGCAAGGAATGTGGCGAGCTATGACAGCGCCACATGATATAATATTCGTTCCCTCGCATGTACCTAAACAAAGTCCGGTTCGTATCACCAATTCGTTCTTTTTTCATTCATAATGTCATTCTGTCATGCTGTCATTGATGTAATTTCGTGACGGTTTAACTGATTACATACTGTGTACATCAGTTTGCAACGGGCGGTCTATACTGTCGTTAATGTTTTCCGACTGGATCTTCAATTCGACTCGACTTCAGAATCCGTCCTTTGCACGAAATCATAAAGAACTTCTGTATAACGTAGCGATTATAACTTCCTTCTTGTTTTCGCTGAAATTCAAAGGCGCACGGGAGGCGGGGGAAGGGCCTACAGGTCAGGTGGCTGATGCCGTACAGTGTAAACGTTCCTTACGATCGCAAAGTCATGGATTTGAATCCTTCCAATAAATACCTTCTTTTGTGTGTGGTGTGTATGTATATGTATGTATCTGTGTATGTGAACAGCTAAAACGGATTGGTTTTGGCCCTGTCTGTATAGAGATTCTGTGGAATCCCCATGTCTGCATTGAGTTACTAGTAATCGCCCTGCTTGTTTACATTCCAGCAATTCCAGAAGTATTGGTGTTGATAAGCTGAGTCACCGCTCGTATAATAATCTTAATATCCGGTTTTCGTATGTGATTGCCAGCTGTAGTTGCCGATTCACGCAGTTACCTCATTGCTCATCAAAGTAATGTTTCTTTAAGTATTCCCAGTATCTTTCCCCTAGCCGTCTGCTCCTTATCTCTTGCTCGAAAACTTTCGCCGTTTTCGCCTCGTTTACTTTTTTCGGTCTCGCGTACTACCGGTGGTCGTTGTGTTTACTCTGGAGTCTCTCGGTGTTTTCCCTTTTCTCAGTCCTCCTCTTCTCCTCATCATTTTGAACCCTTTTGCTCCTGCTTTCACTCTCTTACATCGGCGTAACTTGGTAATATTGGGGTAACAACTATGTCACGTCTACTTTAGTAGGTTGACAAGATAGTTCTTTGACAAAACTACTTCTTAAAAATGAATTACAAGGGTTTCTCAAATAGACCAGCTATCAAAAATACATCCATTCGAGAGGTCAAAAGTGTTTTCTCTTCCTCTGAGCAATTCACTGATGCTTTGGTTTGGAAGTCAAATGGCTGTGGTCCAAAAGAAAGCTGCCGACTACCATTTTTAAAATAGCACAAGTCAGTAACTCTTTTCGTCGAAGTAATGCTTGAACTGTCGGAACAAATTGTAATCAGGAAATTCAAGACCGTAGAGTTGAGCAATCTGTAACCGGGAGGGGTGGGCGTGTTTTTGGTGGGTCTGCGAAGCGAAATTTCGACGCCCGTCGTNCGTCGTGCTGTTGCTGCTTTACTTGCGGTGGCTTTTGACATCCTTCCCTATCTGGCTGGCCACTACTGGGTTTATCGATGTTGGCAATATTTGTGAATTTCCCTTCCGAATCCAGCGACTCATAGTGAATCAGTCCTTTATGTTCCATCAAACTCACCTCAGAGGATTTCCTGTTACTCGAAGAGGAGTATCCTATACAGCGAAGGGCTTCAACCATCTGTTGGTCGATAAGTGGCAAAAAAAGCATTCGCACTTTTTTCTTGCCGTCACTCGTAGAAGATGACGGCTCTGGTGTTGTCCACTTTGTGGCCAAAGTTAGTTGTGAAAGCGCATGTGGGTGGCCTTGTTTGCTCATATGTTGATTACCCAGGGATTGGTCAAAAAAGTTGTCACCCTTGCTATCATGTTCCCATTGTTATACCAAATTGTCCCGCTCCGAGTTTCTTATCGAAGATCTTTCTTGTCAACCTAGTACATAATCATTCTGTTTCCTCCATCGGTGCTGATTTGCACTCTAATCTGCTTATCTATCCATTTCTCCTTGTTTCCTGTTGTAATATGTCATCCTACGAACCACATTTATGTCGGGGATGGAGCAGGAACCCTAAGGGGCTGTTTTTTCCATATATCAGAGAATATGTTGTCTTGAACCTGCTTCTTTGTGAGGACTCATTTGTCAGAAGTTTACAGCTAATTTAATTATCTCTGAACATCCAAATTCTTACCTTTACTACATCGCCTCAGCTGGACGTGGGCATTTGGAGTGACTGAGTCTCAATTCGATCTGTCAGAACACTGCTAAAATTGATTGTGGGGGTAAACGTTCTTTCCATAAAAGGGGTAGCTAGATGAAAAGGGGAAGACTTACTAAGGTGACATCCCCTTAAATCTCGATTGGTATCAGCACAAATCAACCAATCCTTGCCCCTCAGAAATCAGCTGATTTGGGGTGATGTAAGAGCAATCGTAGTGCATTCACAAATCAATTTATAGACGACATAAGCTTTCAAAACGAGAACTTGCGAGAATTTAATGAAGATCGCATCCCTAATGGGATGAATAGACGCCGGAAAACCTTGTCTCTTGACTTTATCATGGCTTGTTCTACCTTGTCTTTCTTGTCTGTTTTTCCGCCTCTATCTTGCTTCGTGCTTTCCCTTTCTTTGAATTCTCGCCCAACCTTTCATCGTTGTTCCCATTGATGCTTCTCAGCCATTATGCAATACGCATTGCCTCCTTATTTATATAGCCATGTTTTCTCGGGAGCGTTTCGGGGAAGGGTTCATAAAGAGTTTCGTTATCCCGCTACTCTGTGGTCGTATCTTGTGCTCTTTGGTCAGAATTTCAGTGTTCCTCGTTATACTGTACGTTGCCTCATATAACTTGTTGATCTTCATCTATTCTTATTGTTTCGGGCAGCTCATTTCCTTTTCTCATTGTACTTTGTTAGTTTGGTTTTCGCGATATTTTTCATTTCCTCACGATAAGTCCACAAATTACTTTCGTCTTTCGCAGAGTTCTATGCCTCCGATAACGTCCGGTAACTCCTTCACTGTTCACACTGGCAATCTCAACAATTACATAGAGGTTGGTTGTTTCCTCTATGAAGTTTTTGGATATGTTTCAGAGGTTTTCACCTCGAATATGGCCATTTAAGGCTTCTTTTCTTCGACTCAGCACGTAATTTGCTCTTGGTATCGTTAGTACTGAAGAAGTTCATTTTTTTGATGAAGTGATTGCTGCTAGATAGCAACTCCAACTTATTCTTTTTTAAAGTGAAGTTGCGACATTTAAAATAGCACAGACGACTGAACTGGTCATTTTTCTTGAGAATGATGTGTGCTGTGTTTCGTCTAACGTTTGTATGATATGTTTATTAAGTTAAGTCTAGGCTTTCTGAGCTTTCTGACGTATCTGTATATGATGTTGATAAGCTTACCTCGCTGCTTCTGGATTTCTTTAACTGTCAAATCTTTGCGCACTTCCGCGATGGTCCTACAAGGTTACTGCTTTTTGTGACTGCGTGCTTAGCTGTTACTCTTCGCCTCCACATTTTGAGTAAGCCCTGGGCTAGGAGCTCGTTATAAACAGTAGAGTACGCGCGTCAATAGTAGTGGCCTCTACGCAAAGCGCTTCTGTCCAGTTGTAACCCGCTCTTCTTCACTGTTTTTCCGATTTCTTTTCGTGATCTGCTGGGTTTCGGAAGCGGTATATCCAATATGAGTACATATTAAAGTTAATTTTTGTGTTGCTGTTTTTGTTTTGGTTATTGCGAGTACGCAAAGCAGTCGAACACTAAATATTCCCAGTTTTGTATGTTACAAATGTTTTTCATGTATTCCATTTTATACTCTTCTTTTTTCAGCTTGTAACTCGACGTCATAAAAACTCGGCTGCTGAAATCGCCACTGCGTTCAAGCACTTGGCTGCACAGAACACTGTATTCCGCATAACAGAAGGTGTTTTCTCGCCAACTACAGAAATCTTACAGCACCCAAAAAACGATGTGAAAACTTCACTCAAAGTTAGTGATGTTAGGCATGATGTTTTTTTCATCTGTACTAATTGCTTGCCTGTCAGGTCTGTCTTTCTACGTTTTCGGCGAATGACGTAGAAAATGCTGTTCAAGTCACCTTAGACACGCTCAAGATGGGGACGTTATCGCAGCTTATTGTGTCTTTTCCTTATGATGAATCGACGGTACGCCATGTTTTCTGACTCTGAAACTTGTAGGCAGCTGCGAAATACCCCCAAAGTAATAATGTTCGATTTATTTTTTCTTGACGCCCATCAAAACTTTTCTTGAAGGTTTATTTTTTGATTTTGACTTTTATTTTATTCACAATTTTTTATTTGATTTTTGCATTTGAGGATTTATCTGATAGCGAATGGTTAGAAAAAGTGCGTCCTATTTGGGCTGTTGTGGAAAGTCTAGTTGATAGAGATTTGGTTCATTCAGTGGGTATGTTGCATCTGCATTGTTGAGAATTCTAATGGTAAATGTGTGTGGAAAATGACGAGATCCGTGGTACTTTTGTGGTTCAGGAGTATCGGATCTCGATGTTGACCGATTACGATTAATATGTGAGGATGCAAAAGAGCACAAACCAACAATAGACCATTACAGCATTGATGGATGTTGTGCTGTGAGTTTGTTTATCTAATTTATTCTTCATTCAGCCAATTTACAGAGCCAATAGAACGTTCACTTCTTACAAATGAATTGTTTTCCTCCAGATAATTCGTGAATTCGTTTTCGATAGAGATATAGCATATGTTTTCAAACGATTTCACTATCTTCTTGAGACAACTGTGCGTTTTTCAAAGCGTTAGCTAATTCTGCCTTATTTTACCATCAGTCAGAACTAAAGTTTGTCGTCCTTTGCTTATTGCGTGGTAGTGTTTCGAAACAACCGGAATTTCATAGACACAGTAAGACATTCACTTGGTACAAAAGTACTTTCTTTGGAAATCATTTGTCATTTCGAAATCATTTCGTTTGTCACTCGTCTCTACTTAGGGGGAAAGAATGTGAAATATCTTCAGAAATGCCACCCCTAACGAGATTTTTTTCCTCTGATGCCGTGAATGTCTATAGGGACTTTCGTAGTTGGCTGTGACATTTTCATCGGTTTGTTGAAAAGCCGAGATCGCCATTTTTCTCACAGTTCTGTCTAGGCACATTGCGCTTAATATCGTTTCAAAAAGAAGAAATTCATTGTACCATTTCCTTCCATTGTAGCACGCGCCATAAACGGGTGCGAATTTGCGATTTCCAACACATGCAATAGTCGAGATCTTGCGAAAGGATTGCGCGACCGTTGTATGCGTGGGAAATCGCATAAATAATTTTTTTTCCTTTTTTTCGTTTTTAAATATATTTTTTTGAAGCTGTAAAACCAATACAAGCAATTGAAGCATTTGGAAGCATTAAAACATGTGAGAGCCGGCCCATATTTCGTGAATGAAATCTTATTTTTTCGGCCTCGTTTCGAGTCCTTTTGACGCAAATCGGATTACATAATATCGTCAGAAGTGGCGCAAGTCTCTTTCACCTAGTTGTATAACATGATCGAAAACAAAAGGCGCAATTCTTCGCTGGTCTATCATTGTTTTGTTAGGTACCGGCGGAATTGGTGGAATATGCAAAGGCCAACGACATTCAACTGCTTACTCACAACGATCCAAGGAATTGTGATCTCGATGCCGATGTTCGTTCTAGCCCCCTTGCTCTTAATGTTTTTCTTGTATCAGCGTAGCTTCCACAACTAGTTCAGGTGTTCGACTCCATCGGTAAGATTACGGATACTGGTAGGAACTTGACTTATAAGTGGGCAGCGAGGTAAGCCAACAACTATTCAGGCAGTTGCAGTGGAATTTTTCCTTCATTTTTCAGATACACGATTTGGATACGAAGTCGATCAGTAATGGCTGCCAAGGGCTATTTTGTACAATTCATAAAAAATTAATTTGCCTTAATTCGCGGCGAAAGATCTACATCATTCATGTTCATGTACATTACTAACTTAACCGAGCTTGCACTGTATTAATTCAGAGGAAAAAAAAACTCGATAGCGTTAACATATTACAGATCGTTTAGTATATCACAAGAAGGGCTGGAATAGATGCTCGTTGATGTATTAATGTATATTTACAATAATAAAGTATATTTATTGTTTGAGTTCATTTATGGTAGGGCTGGATATGCCTTGTCGCGTCCTGCATGGCCTTACCATTCGCTATCACTGAGGGATCCAGGCGCCAAGGATCGAGCGGGATCCTTGGTTCTCTGAGGTCTTGGATACTTTGGTCTGATCACTGCTTATTATTCATTTATTACTATGTCCGAGATGTTGCTGTGGGACCTTCAATACAGGCAAATTGTCGAAAACGTCCATCTCTACCATCAGGTAGGCGGTAAGTAACCCCTCAAAAAATAGCGCGCCGGAGTCGTTATATCACCATAGCGGCGATGATTTCTTCTCTGCCCTTTGAACGAGAGGAGCTAAGCAGCCTCTTTCGTTTTGCTACACCATCATTGGGGGTGACTTCTGACATATTTGTGACATTCATTTGAGGATGTACAGTAATTTCAAATGGACAAAAAGGGGAAATCAGACGTATTGTATTGTACAATACGTTCGCCATCACCGTAACCCTCCATTCCTTCCGAAGTGTGGAAATGATTGTTGAGTTTGTGCTCAGTTTCCGTAGGGTATGGTAAGGCAGTTAATAAGGGGATATAACTTCAGCAGTGGGAGTTGGATGGTATTGTTGGAAGTGAATATTTTTAGGAAGCAAAGCATCCAACCATTCATTTTCGTTCCTTGCTTGTTCCTTACTACGGTACTTGCCTTGATTGTTTGAAGCTAAACATTTACGGATCAGCATTACATTAATTTCATGGTTATTAATCGGTTTTCCATCTCATTTTCATCGGAGTCACAGTTTGACGTAATTCCGTGCCCTTTCTTTTGAATTTCATAGCAAAAGAGTTGATATGGAGAGTTCAAGAGTGGCGAAGAAAACTAGAAAATCAGTGGAAATCTCGAATTATAGGGTATCTTGTAACAAGTTCTACGGTTGGTCAAGGTCATGACGACGAAAGAGGTTTTGGGAGAGATTCTATTTGCTTAGGGTAACGTGTGTCGGCTATCATCAACTAATTGGGTTTGAACAAAAGTACCCCCCCCCCCCCCCCCCCACTGGACAAAGACGNCCCCCCCCCCCCCCCTCCCCCGAATGGTAAAAGGCGCAGCTTTGACAAAGCTGTTGAACACTTCCCTTTCTTTGAATGCATACCGGCAGCAGGCGTCTAAAACGGTTTCCGCTCTCGTTGCCAGTTATGTAGGCCGCTTTTCGCTCAGACGTCTCTTATGCTTCTTCGGAAGCCACGAGTCTCTAGGAGTAAGGGATCTTCGGGGCTTAATCTAGGACCGTGTCATTGAAAAGAATGATACAGTATAATTGAGACCATCGACCTCTACAAGAGAAGCCTCGTTTCGGGAGAAACCTGTCAACAACCTTTCATCTGCTTGCGCGCTTGGATGGTAAGTAGCGGTCATGAAGCGAATACAGTGTTATGACTAAGAACCGTTCATCTGTGTGGAGAGTTTTTTTGACGTACATCTCCTTGTGCACCTTCTTCTCGCGTGATAGGCCCTAGGGGAGATTTTTTTACTTGAAATCCTTACTATATATAAACCACAAATGTCCGTTTTTCTGTATGTCTGTATGTTTGTATGCCTGTTTCACTGTAACTA